TTATTACTATATCAGCAACAGCTTTTATTCCCTGATCATGTAAAGCCTTAATAAGAGCTTGCAGTTGTTGCTGATTCCCATACTTAGATGTATCTAAGTCATACAATCTTCCTGGCATATAACCTGGCGAAAAAAAATGGCTTTAGCCTTTCGAGTAATCACATTTGTAACAACTTATAATCAGTCTTAATGTGTGCAATTCTTCAAACATGTAAAATGCAGGTCATATGTATGACAATTAGATCTAACATATGTCCGTTTAAATATTTAACTATGCCTCAATGTATAAGAGTATAGATTTATATAAGTATGCAACCGTTGTCATGAAAGAATAAGAGGTTCACTTAACTATGGCGTTAATTAAAATCCTAGATCCATATATGTGTAACTTGTAATATATCATTTCTAACAATTGAATCATCTAAGTCATACATTTTCCTATTTTCTATAACGGTTGTCTCGGGTTAGCTTGCGCTTACCTCAATTATTAGACTAATCCATCGTATATTTGTTACCTCTAACCAATAAAGAGACGAGATTAGTCTATCAATCAAAACTTAGACATATCGAGAAAATCAACTAGCATTTTTTGCCTTTATTGGGATTTGAACGCTGATTTTTCCATGATCTTCCATGATTTTTCCAATTTGATTGATTGGTAGGTCACACCCATCTGTCCTCCTAACTTTAGGCGTGCATTCAATAAAAATTGACAATTTTATTACTTTCTCCTTTCCATTTTAAGTGTCCATCTTTTAAGGTTTTAACAAGTCCAATAAAGAAAACATTAACTATAAGGTATAGTTTACTATATTACCCTTATTTATTTCTCGACTATTTAAATGCTACTATTGAAAAGTGGATAATAATAATTACTTTTGACCTCTTTATTTTTGTCTTGATTTTTTAAAGCGACAATTATTCTTAAACATTTTTCTTGGACTAAAACGAAAGTTAAAATGGGACGAAGAGAGTATGTAAGGCAGGAGATCAATTACCTTGAGGGGAAACAGAGTTAGATGATGGTGGTAACCAAACATGAGTAACTCCAGCTTTTGCCAAATCTGGAACTAAATTGATAAGAGAGTTGTACCATCCACCTTGCTGATTACTTGATTCCCAATTGAACCCCTAAAATTCATTACAAAAGAAGAAGAAAATGAACACTTATATATATCTGAATAAGTACACAAAAGTAGAGATACATATATATACATGTGAGAAAATTTGAGGAAAGGTTCTTGGAATACCTGAAACAACAAAGTTGGAGTTGCAAATATAGGAAAAAGAGAGAGAATTAAACAAAGAGGAAAAAGGGAATTCATTGTTTTTCTTGTGTTTTGTTTAACTCCAGGATGAGGAGAAAAGATGGACAAGAAGCTCTATTTATAATGTGGTTTAGAGACAGAAAGGCTTATGACTTTTTCAAACAAACATAATCTCGTCAAATTATTCTTTCAAAATAAAGCAGGTTGTTAAGTGCTTATTATTATAATCTTGGTATTAGATACACTTACTTTTTTATTATTCCAAATGATAGGAAGAAAATGCGTCTACTTTTGTTTCTTTCCTAATCATGGTTGATAGAAATCTAGGTATAGATACGTGCAATTTTAAAGCATGGTTTGATTAAGATTGATAAGCCAATCCAGCAGTGGCTGAAGCAAGATTTCACGCTAAGGAATTCAAAAAAAATAAAAAAAATTAAACACGTTAAGAAGCTAACGGGATTCAACATCTAATATATATATATATATATATATGAATTTTTTTATAATTTTCGGACGAAGGAGGTTCGGCTGAACCCTTCCGTCCACCTAACTCCGCCCCAAATCCAGAATTATTTCAGCAAGTATGGCTAACAAGAGGGCTTTAGTTCATTGAGAACATTTGTTTTGCGATACTCAGTATTACGAACATACGCCAGAAAATATAGGAATTAACGGAAAATATATGAGAAAATCACCTATTTTTTTATGGAAAATATTTTTCAGGAAACATTTTCCCCAAAATTGGGTATTCGGTATGATGGAAGTCTTTGTCCATAAATATTATTTTCTGGTGTGTTTGGTTGGTGAGTGAAATATTTAAAAAAAATATAAATTAATATCGACAAATTGGAGAGTTTAATGACATTTTTTAGGGCTAGAGATTAATATTAATAATGTATAAGTGTTAGTTTGAAGCAAATACTATAAAATTAAAGGTTAAGATACTTGTACATAGTGAGGAAAGTTGTTTTCCTCTTGATGAAATGACTTTCATTGTATATATCAAACACTAGAAAATAATTTTCTCATAACGAATATTTTCCAGTAAATCATTTTCCTCCATACCAAACACAACGAAGATGTTTAGGATGTGAACTTTCAAAGTCGTCAATTGTCAATAATTCAGTCCTTTTGGTCTTTTCTCTTGACTCAGATGGTGAGCGTAAAAGTCACGGTTCAGATGGTAAGATCATACGCCTATTAGACTTACATAATTTCCTTTGAAATGACTCCATTTTATATGAGATTATTTTCATCGTTTGTATGTTCTGCAAAATGACATATTTTATTTTTAAAAATAATTTAATTTTAAACTTTCAATTTTATTTTTAATGACATGATTTTATAGTTACACAAATACCAAGGTATATTTAAAATCACAAGTTTCAAAAATTTCTTTGTTTCCTAAACTCCGTGCCGACTCAAACTACATTAATCTCTCGTGTTGTTCTATGACTCTATCAAGAGACAAAACTTTCGACAGTGGGCCAGATGAAAAGATGTTGTGATTGCTAGAACAATTCTACATTTGAAAATTGGCCAAGTTTTCACATTATCCTGATCTTGCTCCAAGTTATTTCCAGAATGGAGACAATCAGAGAATAATTCAGTGATAGATTAGGACATAATGAGAGGAAAGGAAAAAAAAAAGTGATAGTAGGCTTAATTATTAACGATAATCACCAAAGTTGTCAGATTCATGTCTGTAACTGAGGATAAGAACCGGGGAAATTAGTCTCACTCAATATGAATGCGTTTCTTGTTTTCTGTCATTGTTTTCATCAGAAATGTCTCTTTTTTTGGTTTAACAATCCGATATCTAGTTACAACTGCGCTCACTGTCGAGAATTTCTCCATTCTCAAAATTCGAACCCGAAACTTATGACGTGCCATCATTTGTGTTGGTGGTAATCCAAGTGTCACTTGGCTTATGATTAGCTAATCTTTGAGTGTATCGATAATTAAATGTTAAAGGTGCCTATAATGGTGTAGCTGAACTAAGAACTTTGCCTCCAAGCCTCAGATTCATTTCATTTATTCTCTTGTACTTGCTGGAGAAATGTGGCTTTGCATCATCTTGGCCCTATACAAGAATCCATATGAAATAGAAGCAATAAGGTTAGCCATGTACTTGTAATGTCTTTCACTCTTATAGTAATATATTGTTCATCCATTCCTTCATAAGCGACTATAAATAATACATGGACAATTTTTTGATAACACATAACGATCTATGATGTCCCTATAATCTCACTTTATAAAAAAATGATCCTGATAATAATTAATTAGCAACCTAAGATCACTTAGGCGATTATAAATAATACAAGAGCGATTTCTAGGTAACACATAGGTGATCTATGATTTCACTATGATCTCCTTCTTTATACAAGAAAAATTTATGGTAATAACTAATAACCGATGAATACGAGTCACTAATTAGGCGATCATAAATAATATATATGTAATTTTTAGGTAACACAAAGACGATCTATGATTTCACTAGGATCTTTCAGTTTATAAAAGACGATCTTGGTAATAACTAATAAGCGATCAACCGGAGATCACTTAGGCAACAACAACAACAACAATAACAACAAACCCAATAATTTCTCACAAGTGGGATTTGGGGAGGGTAAGATGTACGCAGCCTTACCCCTACCGTAGAAAGACAAAAATGTTATTTCCGATAGACTCTCAACGATCATAAATAATACATGAGCGTTATTTAGATAACACGTAGACGATCTATGATTTTACCAGGATCTCCCCACTTTATAGATCCTGGTAATAACTAATAAGCAATCATCCGGAGACTATTTAGACGATCCACTACACCAGATTTCAGAAAATCAGAAGTACTCTGATCTTTCTTATTTTTACCTAGTAAAAGTGTAAAACCAGCAAAATAAAATTTACTAATCAAATGTACATTCAACAGAACGTCAACTGTGAATCGCCGAAGTTACAAGTATGAATATCCAAGTATAAACATTTACACGTAGCAAGTTTTGAAGAAATTTTGGTTGAGAGTTACTAGAACAATGGAGAATTGGTTCATCCACTTGCTTTTGTATACCAGAAGATGTTGTGGAACTAAAATCACAACAATCAAATTGTTGAATTTAACAATCAAACTCGAGAGTAAAGATCACTAAAAAATAATTCTTCATAAAATATGCTAAAAAATGACAGCAAAGTGAAAACAGGGAAGAAGAAGTAACCAACATGCAGTATGTGTTTCTAGTTGCTAATTATGTATGAAAACGTTGCTTGTGATATCTTTTTTCGCCTTTTGGCTAAGATCAAGCATGAAAAAAATTCTACTTTTGGTATTTGCAATACTATCTTTCTATTTTTGTTAATTTCAATAAGATGCTCCTCTTTATAAGTTAATCCAACTAAATATGGCCTTCTATTGGTCTTTGTACAAGGCCATTTAACTACTTCACCCAAATGAATAGCCATCCTACAGAAAAGATCCATATGTCACTGTCAACTACAAGCTATTTATAATACAAAAACAATCGAGTCACTATACAACAACAATTACGTCTTAGTCCTAAACTAGTCTTAGTCCTAAACTAGTTAGAAATGGCTATATGAATATTCACCGATTATGTTTCTATTTAAGTTCATCTCAGGCTGGAATGATACACAAAAAGAAACAGAATGCTACAGCAGATGCAATGCTCAACACAATAAATTGAAATTCCTGCAAGGTAATCAAGATTAACCAACATCAACATGTATTTTAAGGAACATCCCTCCTTAAGCCGACGAACACAGTGCACCTTAAGATTGTTCCATAAGCATATCAGAAAGAAGCTAATGACAACTGCTGTAGTTTCTAATGCTACAGATATATGTAACATACAGTCAACTAAATCACAAACCCAAACTAATTAATCTCGACTATATGAAGACATAACCATAAAACACGGGTTTGAGCCGTGGAATCAGCAACTGGTAGGCTGCCTATATCACATCCCTTGGGGTGCGGCCCTTCTCCGGACCCTGCATAAACGCGAGATGCTTCGTGCCCGGGCTGCTTTTTTTTAAAAAAAATATCCTTATATTAAGATGATAGACATAACCATAAAACAGAATCCCTTCTATAATATAAGCTTAATATAAATTGATAGAAACAATAATCAGTCTGTGTAAAATGTGTAAAATGTGAACATTCATATTTCAGTTCTTTGAAGAAAAGCCCAGAATTACGTTACATCATAAAGGGACACAGAATTTCCTTATCATATGAGTTGATTTTTGGTGCCACAAAATATAAAAGAACGGTCCCTACTGACATTTTAGTAGTAGCTTTGTTCACATTTTTGAAGGCTTTGGGAAAATGTCAGGTGTGAATTTCTGCGCTGCACTTATGCTGCCCTTAATTTTCATTGCACCCCTGCATCAAAATCCATTCGAAAATCACAAATTATCAAAAAGCTCGAAACTTTAAAAGATCAAAACGTTGAAAAAAAAAACCTAAAAACTGAAAAGGGTAAATAGAAGGATAAGAGTACCTCATAAAAGCAATTTGGGGGTTCATTTTTCCAGTGGCAATCTTCACAAAATCATCATCCTTAAATGAAAAGGTTGCATCGGGCTTCCCACCCTCATATGGCCCTAAATTCCCAATTAACCAAATATCCAAATTCAATTTCGGATTCATACAAATTAAAGCGATCAGTGACAAGGAGCTAACAATTTCACTCTCAATTTCTAAATTGGTTGGAATCGACTATATAAATCCTCTACATCTATTTATTCGGATTCATTTCATTTCAATACTTGATAATAGGAAAGAAGAAGAAAAAAAGCCCAACCTTCCTTTGTTTCTCCTTTCTTAAGATCAACAACATACACCTTCTCATTGAATCCAATTTTCTGCAGATCAAGAAATTTAAAAAGAATTATCAAATTAAGGAAAATAATTTTTTTATATATATACAGGAATGTAAGATGAGGAAAAAGGGGGAATTTACCTTAGGGGCGATGTTGATTTGGTAAACGAGGCCAATTTTTTTGATGAGTGCCTTGCCAGCATCAGTAGTGAGATGAAGTTTCATTTGCTCAAATATAGCATCGGATTTCAACTGAGTGGAATTATCCGCCATAGCTACTGCTACTATTTGCAACAAATAAGTTCAAGAGCAAAATAAAAGAAATTTATGGCCTAGGGAAAGAGAAATATATAGAGTAGAGCATTAATGGGCATTAAAATGGGAGCTGCAATTTTGGAATTTGGTGGAAAAGATAAAAATAAAGATTGCAGTTTTGGTTAGCAAACGAAGAGGAAATGGCAAAGGGGTGCATGATTAGTCATGGTGTGGACACGCAATTCGATGTACAAGATTAGGATGACGTACTTACAAAGAATTAGGGCGTTACGCGCTTGTCGTTTTAAAGTTTGCTTACTCGCTCTTTTCTGAAGCCGCGTGTGATGAGAACAGGATTCTCTGTATCGGGACCCGCGATTTATTTTTTATAATAGGTACCTGCGGCTGGGATTGGTAATGCGCGAGCCCCAAATTTCACTTTTCAAGGGAAACAAATCGTAACGAGAAAAAAAGATAACTCTCCCAACTAAACCAACAAAATAAAAGTTTTATTATAAAATATTACTCAGATTAACAATATAAAACGAGAAAAAACAAGTTAAGATATATAAAGAAAAATAAATGAGAGATTATTATTTCTTATTTAATTATGTGTATTTTTTTTATCTATTACAAGACATTTATATATGTATAAAAAGTGAAGAAAATATGTCATTGAAAATGTCATTAAACATTTGAGACGAAAATCACGAAGAAAGAGTAGACATCCATTATAATTTGATATTTCTTATAATACTCCCCCTTGAATGTCCATAGATAATGTGTCTCATTAAAACCTTATTAAAAAAATTAGTGAAGGAAAAAGAGTATACATGTTTAGAAATACGTTTTTTTGGTTGCCTCATTAAAAACCTTGTAAGGAAAACCCAGTGGGACAAAATCTTGTAAGGGAAAAAGAGTACACTGCGTATTAACTCCCCCTGATGATAGCATCAATTCACATCCTTGAGCCTTCGCATCCCAATCTTGTACACTAGTTTCTTGAAGGTTGACGTCAGTAGAGATTTGGTGAACAAATCAGCTATATTATCACTTGAACATATATGTTTCACACTGATATCACCATTCTTTTGAAGATCATGTGTGAAAAATAACTTTGGTGAAATGTGTTTTGTTCTATCCCCTTTTATGAATCCTCTCTTCAATTGAGCTATGCATGTTGCATTGTCTTCATACAAAATTGTGGGTAGTTTGTCACACTTCAAACCACATTTGCCTCGTATAAGGTGTATTACAGACCTCAACCATACACATTCTCGACTTGCTTCATGAATAGCAATTATCTCAGCATGATTAGATGAAGTAGCCACGATTGATTGCTTAGTCGATCACCAAGATATTGTAGTGCCTCCACATATAAATACATAATCTATTTGAGATCGAGCCTTGTGTGGGTTAGATAAATACCCACCATCGGCATAACCAACAAGATCGGGACTACAATCATTGCCATAAAATAAGCCCATATCAGTAGTCCCTTTTAGATACTGCAATATGTGTTTGATTCCATTCCAATATCTCCTTATAGGAGCAGAGCTATATCTTGCTAAGACATTAACTGAAAAATTAGGCCTTGTAGTGTTAGCAAGATACATTAATGCACAAATTTCACTAAGATATGATACTTCAGGACCAAGAAGCTTTTCATTCATTTCTTGAGGTCGGAACGGGTCCTTATTCACATCAAGTGATCGAACAACCGTCAGAGTACTTAATGGATGTGCTCCATCCATGTAAAACCGTTTTAATACCTTTTCTATGTAGGCAGATTGATGAACAAAAATCTCGTTTGTCAAATGTTCAATTTCCAAACCAAAACATAATTTTGTCTTTCCGAGATCTTTTATCTCGAATTCCTTCTTTAAATAATCAATTGCCTTTTGGAGTTCTGTAGGAGTTCCAATAAGGTTTATGTCATCAACATATGCGGCAAGTACAACAAACTTCGATGTTGTTTTCTTTATAAAAATACATGGACAAATTGCATCATTTATATAACCTTCTTTTAATAAATATTCACTAAAGCGGTTATACCACATTCTTTCTGATTGCTTTAGACCATACAAAGATCTTTACAATTTGATTGAAATCATTTCCCTGGACTTTGAATTATGTGCGTCAGGCATTTTAAATCCCATGAGAATTTTCATGTATATCTCATTATCAAGTGAGCCGTAAAGGTAGGCTATAACCACATCCATTATATACATGTCAAGCTTTTCATGGACAGCAAGACTAATGAGATAACGAAATATTATAGCATCCATAACAGGAGAATACATCTATTCATAATCGACACTAGGCCTTTGTGAAAATCCTTGTGCAACAAGGCGTGCCTTATATCTTTGTACCTCATTTTTCTTATTATTTTTACGTACAAAGACCCATTTATAGCCAACAGGTTTAACACCATTAGGTGTTTGGACTACTGATCAAAAACTTCACGTTTCGCAAGAGAATCCAACCCATATTGGATTGTTTCTTGCAATTTTGGCCAATCACATCTTTATCGACATTCTCCAACAGATTGAGGTTCAAAATCCTTATTATCTTGCATAATGTTAGATGCAACATTGTATGCAAAGATATAATCCACCACTATATTTAATCGAGTCAAATTTGTCTCGATATCGATTGGATTTATTGATAGTTCCTTATTTTCTTGAGTCTCATGCTCATCGATATCCTCATGAATCTTAGGATTGGTTAAATCATGGGTTTCTTTATGAGATTCTTTCTTAGTGTCATCTTGATCATTTATTTTCCTTTTTCTAGGATTTTTATCCTTAGAACCCAATGGTTTGCCACACTTTAGGAGTGTTTTTGACTCATTAGCTATGACACTAGAATATTGTCCAACAGGGGCATCAATACGGATTGAAACATTCTCTGCAAGGATATGTGAGTTCGTTGTCCTTTTTAGATCTGTAAATGCATTCTGGCATTTGATTTGCTATTTTCTGCAAATGGATATTCTTTTGCATCTCTTTTTCACAAATAGAGGCACGTGGATTAAGATGAGACAATGATGAAATTTTCCACGAAATTTCCCATTTGATTTTACCAATTTCTCCCCCTAATTGGAAAAATGCCTCGTCGAATTAACAATCTGCAAATCGAGCAGTGAACAAATTTCCCGTTAATGTTTCGAGGTAGCGAATAATAGAGGGCGATTCAAACCCAACATATATTCCTAACCTTCTTTGGGGACCCATCATGGTGCGATATGGCGGTGCTACATGCACATATACAGTGTATTCAAAAATTCTTAGATGGGATATATTAGGTTCATGACCCAAAACTAATTGCAACGGGGAATATTTATGATAATTTATCGGTCTGACACGAATTAGCATTGTTTCATGCAAAATGGCATGACCCAAACAGAATTGGATAATTTCGTTTTCATGAGTAATGATCTTGCTACTAATTGCAGACGTTTAATCAAAGACTCTACAAGGCCATTTTGAGTGTGAACATGAGCTATAAGATGCTCCACTTTTATCCCAATTGATAAGCAATAATCATTAAATGCCTGGGATGCAAAATCAGTAGCAGTATCAAGCCAAATAGACTTAATTGGATTATCGAAAAACTGTGCCCGTAATCGAATTATTTGTGTCATTAATTTTGCAAACACCAGGTTGCGAGATGACAATAGGCACACATGAGACCATCTAGAAGATACATCTATTAAGACCATAAAATATCTAAACGACCCAGTAGGTGGGTGAATAGGTCCGCAAATATCCCCTTGAATACGTTCCAAAAACGCAGGGGACTCAATCCCAACCTTTGTTGGTGATTGTCTAATAATGAACTTGCCTTGATAAACAAGAAGTGCAAGAAAATTCATTATTTAAAAGAATCTTTAAATTCTTTAATGGATGCCCATTTGAGCTTTCTATAATTCGTCTCATCATAATTGATCCAGGATATCCCAATCGATCATGCCAAAGTATAAAAGTATTGGAATAAGTAACATTTTGGTTTACGATAGAATATGCCTCTATTGCACTAATTCTTGTACAATACATGCCACAAGATAAAGATGAAAACTTCTCAATAACTCTTTTCTGGCCAGAGACATTCTTGGTAATAATGAGATATTCGATATTATTATCATCTATTGTCTCAATATGAAATCCATTCGACGGATATCTTTAAAACTCAACAAGTTCCTCTCAGACTTGGAGGAGAACATTGCATTCTCCATGATAAGTATTGTTCCATTAGGCAGAGTTATAGTGGCTCTTCCAGAGCCTTCAATTAGATTACTACTACCAAAAATTATAGTAACATCTGCCTTACACATAACTAAATGAGAGAAATATTTCTTCTCTTTTAATATTGTATGTGTCGTACGTGAATCAATTAAGCAAATATTTTTACAATTGAACTTTGATCCAAGTTTGCTTTGAGAGATATCTATATTTTCTTCCCATGGTTTGACATACAAAAAGAAGCACATGAATAAATATTACTATTTTCAGAGAAAAAAGAAAAAAATAAAAGCTAAACCAATGATTCAATAGTGACTTTTAGTGTAATTTCGAGCAAACTCTGATTATGATACAAATAATTCCATAGCTAAAAATAATGCAATTATTTTTAGGCTGTCATATGATTTTAAAACATGAAAATGTCACGACCTGGAATTTTCACCATCGGGACCGTGATGACGCATAATATTTCACTTGCTAGGCAAGCCAACATTATAGAATCATTAAACCAATCCTTATTCCATTTAGTAAATAACAATAATTAGCTAAGATGAAATATAGTGAGTGCAGAATAATATAAAAACTGCCTTAATCACTACCACCCGGATCTGGAGTCACAATTCACAAGCATTCTAGAATTCACTATAAGTAATTGTCTGAAGGAACTACAACTGTTTGGATGAAAGAAACAGTAAAACAGAAAAGATAGACGGAGACTTCAAGGTATGTGAACGCCGACAAATCTACCTTGAGTCTTTGGATAGCGGGTCCAATAGCAAAAATCTCGATCAACTCGAGTCGATACCAAAATCTGCACAGAAAGTGCAGAGTGCAGTATCAGTACAACCGACCTCATGTACTGGTAAGTGTCGAGCCTAACCTCGACGAAGTAGTGACGAGGCTAAGACAAGACACCTACAAATCAACCTGTACAATTTAACAATGTATATAC